TATTGCCACGGTAGTTAATCATCTGACGATTGTCAAGTCAAGTGGCGAAAATTTCTAAGGTCGATCGTAACACCGGTTTTTTTTTTTTTAAAAAAAAAAAAATAAAATTGTATAGTGAAGAGCTTTGTTAACAAAATAACAAGAAACCATTTTTGATAATCAGCGTAGTTAAAAATTGTTGTTCAGTAGTGAGAGGTCATCTTTCGCTCATTTTGACTCGGCAATGATTGATACTTGGTTTAATAGGTTAAATGGTAATGGTAAGTAACGTCAAGCTCGGCGGCTGAAATAGCAGAGTAAAAACCTTGCCGGTAGTAATTAGGCCCGCAGTTGCAGTAGTGGTGCAAATGCAAAAACCTCGTTTGGTGGTAATTAAGCACCGCAGATATAGTAGCAATGCAAAGACCTTTGTAAGATAGGTTTTGGGCTTCGCAGTTGCAAAAGCCCATTTGTTGAACTTAGAAGCATCTTTATCACTTCATGAGTGACTACATAATCGATTCTTTTTGAAGCTACATGGATCTCTCCTCAAAGACCTATCCCCCGATTGCTTAGGCATTATAGTTTGATCAGAGATTATAAGATAGTTTTGATTAAGCGTAGTAGTTTCAATACGTTAAGAGTGGATTTATAGCCAGTTAATTCGAATAGCAATGTTTGTTGGAGATGTTATAGGAGGTTGAGCTTGTAATGATAGTGAGCAGATTCCCATATGCTTTTTCATTGTGTTTTAACAAAGTCATTTTTCATCTGATTGAGCAATAATAATTGCATTTTTGACGGATTTCAAATTGAGATAGAGATTTGAAACACCAATAATGTTATAGTGCTGTTCGTTAATGAATTGTAGAATCGTCGTCAAAAATTTATTGGCATGCAGCACTTTCAGTAACTTTTATTAAAGAAAAAAAAACTAATTATAATTGACGTTAAATAACTATTAAACTTTAAACGGCCTTATTATAAATCGAACCAATGGTGTTGAACGCCATATAATTTTTTATTATAATTCGTTGTCAATACTTAAGATTAGGGTTAAACATTAAGATAAAATTAGAGGTTCTAGGCTAAAAATCAAAGCTAAAAATAAAAAGTTTTTTTTTGGTTACTGAACATTTTTATTTAATACATCCGGCTTTGATTTTTTAGAGAAATAGCAACTGTGGTGTTAAACACTACTGGTGTAATTTAACAATGCCTTTATACTAAAGGGTAAATTAAATTATTAAATATTTTCTCCATAAAATTGGGTTTCATTTATGAATTTAAAAAAATATAAATAAAAATATAGAATTTGGTTAAACATATCAATGTTCAGTCTTGTGGTGCGATTTTGCTTTGTCCGTGGTGCTATGTTCTTCAGCTAATATATATTGGATTGTAATATCTTCCATATCATTAGTACCTTTAATAACATCATCAATGCAACTTTCGACCTCATTCAAAGTTGTTTGATCTAACGCTTGCTTGAATTCCAATATCCGAGTTCTTAATTCGAACGTTGCGCAAGGGTAATCATTTTTGAATTTTATATACGGATTTTTAGTCACAACTGGTGTGTTAGGTTGATGTGGTCCACGTGGCATGCCATAAAATGGTAAGCGAGGTAGAACTATGAATATAAAAAGTTAATGCATGTTTCAATGATTTTTTTTTTTTAAGATTAATCAAGTGCAATAGTAGGTTTAATAAACGTAATAATTAAATTATTTACTATTTCTTTTTTCTTCAGCAAGAATGAAATGAGGAAGAGCTACGAATATAAAAAGTTAATAAATGTTTCAATGATCTTTTAAGATAAGTCAAGTGCAATAGTAGGTTTAATAAATTGAATAATCAAGTTATTTACCTCCTGAAACAAGAGATATTTGAGCAAGGATAGCAACAGATACCAAAAGAACAAAGGTAGTGATCAAGAATTTCATTGTAATTTTGTAAACAGACGATATTTTGTTTGAAGGGACTATTGGTAAGTTAATGATAATAGATATTGTCGAGAAAAGTTAATCTTATTTATATCTTATTATCTTGGATCTCCATTTTCGAAGCCTTTCCATAAACAATACTTTATAAAAAATTTTCGTACAAAATTATTAATAGGTATTATATATTGATTAAAAGTTCGTTTAAATGAGTAATCATAGATAGAATGATTTTATTAACGTTAATGATGTAAATCTCAAATTGACCGTGAGAAAAGTTTTTAACAAATTTGCATATGGCTGATGTAACACCCTGCGTTCGTCTGTAATACATTCGAGAAAATCAGGAATGAAAAAAATTGCGATTTTTAACATTCATAATCAACATTATAGTTTCCTGAATTATTATTATTATTAAAAGAAAAAAGTTATTACGAGAAACATTCGGAATTATGTTTATTATATAAATCCAAGAAATAACTGCGATTTGGAGAAGTTCTATTTGATAGCAAACTATTTACTATACCAAAAACGAAATGGAACAAAGTTCATGGTTATACGAAGAATCAAAATCAAAGTCTTTGATTAATTGGCGTATTGGGCTTGTTTGTATAAGATATAACCTGTCAACCCAATCACTGCATGAATAATGGGTATGAAGATCTAAGTATTTTACTTTTAAAATTCATATACTTTCATTTATTTATATTGATTCATATATTTAAACTGCTACACTTCATAAAAGTATTATTGATTATTTATTAATACTTGCATTTAATACGTAGAAATATTTGAGTTTATCAATCTTTACTATTATTTTATTCATGTTAATTTAAGATAAGCAGTTCGTGGATTTTTCTATTACACAATACTGCATTAATTTAGTAGGTGACCATAATGTCAATTACTAAATAGATGTATCTAGGAGATTCACTTCGTTTCATCGACAGTTATTTCACCGACTTTTAATTCTAACCAACGTTAACTTTATATTGCTTACTTTTCAATTCGATTTATTTATTTGCATTAACTTCTAATCGATGCATTTAAAATAAGCTATTCAAATTCGTAAATATGTAATACATTTCTATTTATGATCAATTACTTGCATTATTTAGTAGTTATATAATAATTAAAAGTTCGTTTAAAAATATTTAAAATGAACTATTCATAGATATTTATATCATACGACCATTTTTATTTAGTGAACAAAATTAGTAAGGTTCATTAAATGATAAACAAAATTACTAATACCTACTTAGATAATCACGACTATGATAAAAATTCTAACCAAGAATCTTACTATATTATTTATCTATAAGGGCATCTTTGATGCTAGTCAAATATAAGAAATATCTTCATACATACATACTTTAGTAATAGTATATTATGATTATCACTGGTAATAATTAGAACTCTTATACTATTGACATAAAAAGCTTCGTACGTACAAATTTATGTTACGCGATCGGCAGATTTTCTAATTGTGCAATTCAGGGTTCGGTAATATAATAAGGATTTTGAATAATCTACATTACACGACAGACCACAGATTATTTTGACACGTATTCTCTCGATTGCGGTAAATAATTATGGCAGAAAAATTTCTGATCGCATGCCTTACATCCAATTTAAGTAGCTAATATTATAATATTTTCTAGAACGTAATAATGTAGTAAGTATTTATATGATATAGTAAAGGTTTCTGATTTATTATTCAACATAGTAAAAATGCTATTTAAATATATCCTATTTATTTTGAAAATGCATCACTTATTGGTTAATTTTGAAACCCCGGTATATTTTTTTAAATAATAATTAATTGTGAGAAAATAAAATAAAATTTATCTTTAATGATTTCAGATGATGGTAGTTTTATTTCTTTAAAGTTTTTAACCAAAAAATGAAAAACTAGTGGGTCAAATTTTGATGAATATTATATCAGAAAGATAATGTAAAGTTTTTTTTTTTTGCAAGCTGGGACCAAAGTAGTAATATTCTTGCATCTCAAGAAGTTATTGTCTGTGTTAGGTTTATACTTCAAAACATCTATATTTCAAATTAAATAAAAGTTTATGCATAGTTTTCCTAGCACAAAAATTCGTATATACTTTAGTTTATGTTTTCACGTTTAATTTATATGTATAAGTTTGATTTAGATTATAACTTTTTTTGAAGAAAAATTATTTGTAAAGTTTACACATATTCTATTATTAATTATCAAAGTTAAACAGAAAGTGTAAAGATTATTTTTCTAAACACTAAATCATCTAACGTTCAAATCAACTCTCCAATGTTTTTAGTATATAAATCTGACAGGTGTCACAACCTGCGACATTATTATAACCTACGATAGTCGTTACAGCCTTAAACATTTATTACGACCTACATCACATATTACAATACACACTTGTGTTACAACTAAACTAGTTGCGATGGTATACTACTGATATAACGTAATTGAGGTAGCACTGCCACAATAAAGTCTGCATCTCTACATCCAATTAAATTTTTGAGTTATAAATGTGGACGAAATATTTAGAATATTAACATTTTTTATTATATCAGGTCTTGTAAATTTATTGCTAGATTCATTTAATTGGAAATTTTTTTTGCAACCTTTCTCGAGCGTTATTTATAGTAACCACATTGATTTAGTATGTCGAATCAGTCTGAAGAATTTTTATTAATAGATTCTGGTTAGGTTAATACACTTTAACTACGGCCTCTACAGTAAATCCAAGGAACAATTATTTTAATTATAGAAAATCCGTTTTATTAATTTTATCAGTGGAATTTATATTTACATTCTAAGTGAAACTTATAATCGACATTGCCATCTAGCCTATACTCTTGTTAATTCATCATAATCAAAGGGTCGTTTCCAATTGTTTATTCGCATTCGTCACATTCGTGTGCGACAGATGGTCGCATGCTATGAATGAGACGTTTTGCAGCCCAGGGAGATTTTTGCTCTTGTGTCACTGAATTCAGGTTTAAATCGTAGACATAGAATGGGTTATTATTATCTCTTAAAGGTATTTGTTCAAAAAATGTATTTGTGATTATATAGTAACTTGTATTAATTATGTTACTTTATTATGTAATTCTGCAGTAAAGTCAGGGAATTGTCATTTAGTGGTAAGCAAAGATAACACCTTACTTTTTACTGCACATGAAATTATTACTATTATTATTTTTGTTTTTTATGATGCCTATGTCCTTTATTTTATTATTATTGTTTTTATTATTATTCTCGAGATTTAAAAATAATAACTTTATATTGAATGATATTCCTACATACGCATATTTTCGTTCCTAGTCACTTTATTTAGTTTGATTATCCAAGTACAAAGACTAAGAGAAAAAACTTGTGAAAATTGCAAGAAATGAAGTAATCGAAGAAATAAGAAAATAATGTAATAAGGTATAACAAAGAATTACGACTAAAAAGAAATCAATAAGATATTGAAAATTCGTATAACGATGAACGCTAATAATACTTTTAAAATAGGATTGATCACATTTTCCTGGCATAACGAATTTTGGCTTTGTCCTTGCTCATGATTAACATTCATTCATTTTCTATTCAGAATATTTCATAACAGCATCATGTTTTTTCTTAATGCTGGCCAAAATTTCAAAACTATGTTAAAAATTGTTAAAAATTACTAAAAATTCTATGTAGGCTCTTGAAACTTTTACATAGACTAATAGTTTGAGTAGCAATTTGCTATATGTCCCGAATCTGAAATCAATTTTCTTTCTCAGATCTATCGGATACATCCGTTATTAAATATTAGTAAGTGATTTATTTTATTCGATTCTTCAAAATGAAAAGCGATCGTTGCAATCTCAACAAACAAAGTGATTCTTTTAAGGAATAAAATTCAATAAACACTATACACGTTCGTATACCTCATTTATACTTTTATACGAACATGCGTGTTTATCTTCAATTTTTTTTTTTTTTTTTTTTTTTCCATTACCCTTTAATTTGAGAGCAGTGTGGACGTACGAACATGCTTGTTCGTCTTTATTTTTTCTTTTTAGTGGCCAATAATATATCCTTGCTATACCCATATACCATTACCCTTTAATTTGAGAGCAGTGTGGGGTGTACACACCTGCCTTAACCTATATGCACACGAACATACACGTTCGTATACCTCTACACAAACATGTGCGTTCGTTTCCTTTTTCCTTTTTCCGTGGCCAATAATATATCTGTGCTATACCTATATACCATTACCCTCTTATTTTGAGAGCAGTGTGGGGTGTACACAGCTGCCTCAATCTATACACACACAAACATACACGTTTGTATGCCTTATTTAACCTCAACACGAATATGCGCGTTCGTTTCCCCCCTTTTTTTTTTTTTTTTTTTCATCTCACATCGTAGTGTTCGATCCTAAATTAGGCTATCTAAATTGGTTATTAAACTTTCCTTTTTTCATCAATCTTACATCGAGAGTCGGGAAGCTCAGCTTGCCAAGTAAGGTAGCTCAAGTTGGCAAATACGTCCCCGAGCAACTCGCATTACATTACATTAAACCTTCCCTTTTTTCATCAATCCCACATCGAGAGTCGGGAAGCTCAACTAGCCAAACAAGGTGACCCAAGTTGGCAAGTACGTCCCCAAGCAACTCGCATTACATTGC